TTTTTAACTTTTAATCAATCTTTATATTGTCTATATATAAAGTTAAAAAGTAAAAATAACTAAAGATAAAAGGGTGAAAGTTTTAACCGAACCCGTGATCAAATATGTACCTCACTCTAGTTGTCAGTATTTTTTTTTTCTAGTGACATGGAATGACAAAAGAAAGGATATTTTGGTGAAAGGTTTCTTCCCAAATTGCTCTACTTAATTTTCCATGCATATGACAGAATTATCAAAAAAATTTATAGAGAGCTACTAAGAGAAGAAAAATGAATGTGAAGAAAATATGGGAATTAAAAAACCATACCTGCTGGCCTGAAACTTGTACTTCTAACTGAGAAGGCAAAAAATGCAGTAGATTCTATCCTAAATGAAATGATGCCTATCTGCATATCAAATAGATAATAAAACGCAAGATGGTAAGTTAATAGATATAAAAATGGGGAGAAAAAGCACTTCTTAATTTTGTAGTGAAAGCACTTGTTATCATTTACCTTCGAAAATAAGAGGCAATGAAGAGAAGGCAGGGAAAGTGGAATGATACTAGAACAGCACTTTTTAATCTTGCAGTGAAAGCAGTTGGTTTGCTAAGAAAGGCTTTTGTAGTGAAAACAGTTGATTTGCTGAGAGAGGCTTCTTCTGCACCTGTTAATTTTCGTCGCCTAAATAACTCTGAGCAACGAACGAAAGGATAACAATATTGTTAAAGCTTCTCCACAGATAACTCGTTAAGCACCTACTAGCCGGTTAGCTATACTTCCAAGATCAATTTTATTACATATCTACTAAAGTAGAAACAAAAATGCAGTAAGCAGAAACCCAACATCTAGATTCTAATCCTTTGGAAGAGGAAGAGTAAAATCCAAGGAAAAAAATGTTAGAAAATAGTTTGTTAAATCATTTATTCAATAATAAATTGAAAGAGGAAAAGGCACCTTGTTTTAAACGGTTATGCTTTTTTCCAAATGACTTACTAGAATGATAAAAGAAAAAATAAGCCTGATGAAAAGTTTCTCCACAAATTACTCAGACGGACTTTCTATCTACCTACATAAAATATTTTCATTACATATAAAGTCAAACCAAAATACAACAAAGTAAAAAAATGAGAATAGCTAGAATCCAATCCTTTTGAAGAGGTAGGAGAATATTGTCCAAAGAAAACACCATGTTATTTACTAAAATGATTAAAAAAAAAAAGCAGCTTTGGCCTTTTCAGCGAAGAAAAATGATCGTGTCGAAGGCAAGGATAGAACGTAGTATACATATATACACTCGTGTGTCTGCGCGGGCGCATGTGTATATATTCACACATTTATTGCAACTTATAAAAAAAAACACTAAAGATATTATGCGAAAATTCAGTGCTTGCAAAATATAGATCAACTGTCCAAATTAATTGAAAAAA